AGCTAGACTTTTGATCTTTTCCAAATTTTTCCATCTATGTGGGTTAGGCCTCACGTGCAGCCACGTCTCTTTAGGCGACCGCGTAAACTAGTGTTTTTCCGCCACAACCAATCATGCTGCATGTACTGATGTTGACGAGATTAACCCCTTAGGTATCAAGGCAATTCGGTCGGTACCTAAAAAGTATCGAACTTGATACCCAGCTCTATAACTATAATAATAAAAAAACTGTTCAAGACATTTACATAATATATTGTATAATATTATTATTAGTAGTAACTATTGTAAAAATCCTACGTAGACCATGTTCTTGATAGGTTTTGTGACAATTTTACAAGACTTTTACACACACACACACACACACACACACACACACACACACACACACACACACACACTTTCTACCCAAGTCTGCCTTCTAGTGACCTGTCTTCTGTCTCAGTCTGAGGAGAGGACAGTGGTGTAGCTCTCTCTTACACACACTCACAGACACACACACAAACCTTCTACCCAAGTCTGCCCTCTAGTGACCTGTCTTCTGTCTCAGTCTGAGGAGAGGACAGTGGTGTAGCTCTCTCTTACACACTCACAGACACACACACAAACCTTCTACCCAAGTCTGCCCTCTAGTGACCGGTATTCTGTCTCAGTCTGAGGAGAGGACAGTGGAGTAGCTCTCTCTCTCTCTCACACACACACACACACACACACACACACACACACACACACACACACACACACACACACACACACACACACACACACACACACACACACACACACACACACACACACACACACACACACACACACACACACACACACACACACACACACACACCTTCGACCCAAGTCTGCCTTCTAGTGACCGGTCTTCTGTCTCAGTCTGAGGAGAGGGCAGATCGATTAAAAAACTTGTGCGTCCTCACCTTCCTTCATTCCCTTGGCCTGTCTGCGGGTGGTGTAGCTCCTCCACACTGAGCTGGTGGTGTAATATGTGTCTTTCACAAATGTGTCATCTGAGCTGTCGCTTTCATCATTAGAGTCTTCGTCTTTGTCATCGTCGCTGTCATCAGATGAATCGTCTTGGCCTAGTAAGTGGGTGGAAAAACAAGTGTATTATATACATATTTTAACCTTCACCTGCTGGATCTACATTATAACAAACTTGTGCTCACGCGCAAATAAATACAAAAAAAAAAAAGTATGATACTACACTAAAATACAATACATTGAGTAGCAGTTAAAAAAAAGGAAACAAAATTCAATTTATTTAAAAAAAAAAAGGAAGCAATATTTTAATGCAAAAAAAAAAAAGTGTGAATTGATCATGTTCATAGTTAATGTGATGAACTACACCTGCTAGGAGACCTGTGTGAACTTAAGAACTGACACACTAAACCACCTAGAGGCCAGTTTGTTAAATGCGTTTAGTGTAAAGGTGTCTCAGAATAGTGAAGTTATCAAAGGCCGCCTTTTTGCTTTTAATGCAATGAAGACTATCCTTCAATATGGCTAAATACTTTTGGGGGGCAAATACTTTGTTTGAGCTTCACCTTGACTATAGTAGGATTCACAATTTTGACACCCAATTACTGAGTTGGACTTGGTTGGTGTCGTTACTTTTCCCCCAATAACACAGATATAAGTAGTAGTGGAATAGTAGAACAAGCAGAATAGTCAGATGTGTGCATAGGTCTCTCACTTTTGCCGGTAGTGCTGCTGTTACGCTCCTCCATCTTGGTGGTGGATTTACCGTGTTGGGAGGAAGCAGGTAGTTTAACCCTGCTCATGTCCACCCCGCTGCCCTCGCTGTCGGAGCAATGAGCCTCACTCTCGTAACCTTCTTTAAAGTTCTCCACACTCTCAATGTGATCTAGATTGGCAAAGTATTCATCGCCCATTTCCAAACCTTCTTTATCGGCAAAGTCATCAGTCAGGATTTTACCTGAAAAGAGTAAGAAACAAATATTAATATAAAACAATAAGAGGGAAAAGCTTAAGCAAGACTAAACACTGGAGTGATGTTCTTTTAAATAAACTGAAGTCCAAGTGTGTTACCTGCATAGATACAAACAAAGGAGCCCTTGGCGATGTCATCAAGGCAACGAATGCCCCAGCCCTTATTCTGGGTCTTAAAGAGCTGCAGTCGGACCTGCAAACCATGCTGAACCAGACGGTTAGTACACATCTGCGCATTACAGCGACACCGCTTATTGCATTCATAGATTCTGAGAATGTAAACAGAAAGAGAAAGGAAAAAGAGAGACATTACAATTAAAAGGAGCTAGAAGACAGTAAGTTGAAATCAACATGAGAGGGTTGGTTATGAATCACTGACCCTGTGGGGAGACATTCTTCCAGTCTCTTGTGATGGTATCCAGCGTTGGCGTTGATCTGTCCACCTGGAGTACATCCTGTAGCCTGTAGAGTCAGTTGGTGACACGAACACTTGGATCTACAAACAAGCAAAGGTACAGAACAAAATCAGGTCTTAGAAATGTACTCTTTGTATTCATTTTCAAGAACAAGTTTAAATTGTATGACTGTAAAAATGTAATGTGGTGTAACCATAAAGTAAAAAACAAACAAACAAACAAACCATTAATTATTTAAAAGTTCACCCCTTGACACTTTAGAGCCTGAACTAATCTTGTCCTGTGATAAAAAGGTCAAATTATCTGATGTTTTGTATACTTATTGACCTTGACAGTCATGAGGTTCCGCAAGGTCTCTATGATATAAATTCCTGTTTTATGTTTTTTTCTTTATGTTGGTTGCACCATATTACTTTGATGTGGGCAGATAAGTTTTTTAACTATTACACTATACTTTTTACAAAAAAATGAATTAGAAAACAGACTTTTATATTTAATTTTTCTTGTTATATTGCTTGTAATAAATAGATTGAGAAATACTAAGAAGGGTAATGTCTAACTTAAAAAAATTAATGAGGGAGAGGGTAGTGAATAATGTCAGGTCGATAAAGACCCATGGTTGCGTTTAATGGTTAAATGATTAGAAAAATCCAGCATACATCAACAGAAACAAGTCTGCTACCTGAAGGTTGAGTTATGAGATTTTTTATTTCAAATAAGGTCAAATAAAATTAAAATAGGAACTAATGCAAGGATACATTTATCACAAAAAGATAAATAACATGCATTTAGGAAATTGATGGGGTGAAATTTCACATCATGCTGACTTAATTACTTCTTAGAAAATAAAATATTTTAAAACATTATGCCAAACTATTGTAAAGAGGTTTTGTTCTTTAATATTTTTTTTTTTACTTCTTTTGTTGAAAGTTAATCAATTATACTAACTTGTCTCTGCAGCCATCAGTGCAGTCACAGCCCACCAGGAAGTCTGAGCTGGTGTTAATATAGACTCCATCTGCTGGGATTCTCTCTTTACTATAGGCCACACTGGGTGCAGATGTGCCGTCGATTTCATTCACACAGGACAAGGGAATGTCTTCGCGGCCACTTGTGATGTCCCGGATGAAGTAGAACGGCCTCTGCGGTTGGAATCGGCGGTCAACCAACACATAGGGATCCAGACAGAACATCTCCAAGAAGATGAAGTCACAGAGTGTCTGGAAGAGGTAGCGCTGTATCTCTGCCATATTCCTCAGACTCAAGCCACATGGGGACTTGTAGATGACGTGGAACGACATCTGAGCAAGAGAGGAAGATGGTTAATAAAAATTAGTATTGATCATCATGCTCTTAGATATTTGCAACAACCATGGAAAAACACTTTTCAGTTTACCACTAGTCTGTAGTATAGTAAAACCATAGTTCACACAGATGTTGGTCAACATGGTGAATTTGCATGAGCACCTTAAACCTGATATGAAATCTATGTGGGGGAATATTTTGTCCTTACTCGTGCCGATTTCTGTTGAAATGACTGGATTTCGAACACAAAATATCACCGATAAGACATACAAACCTTGCGGTTAAGTCGTCTACGGCCTGTCATGCGCCTGAATTCATAGAGCAATGGCGTAAGAAGTGGGTTGCGTCCTCGGTGCAGGTTGTGATGAGTGGGGCGGATGCGCTTTAGACAGTCTGGAGTGCAGTTGTGTGTAAGGTAGAAGAGTCGGTCATTTGGGGCCTGATACGATGGCTCCTGAGGAATACGCTCACTTGTGTAGGTCGACACGGTTGTCTGCAAATTATGAGTTGTTGGTGTGATTGGCGTTAACGTATGCACAGGTCCAGACTGCAGAAGAAAGAGCCTGCAAGTAAGAAAATAAGATGTTGGTACATAGTGCTTGTATACTACTTATATTATAATTACTCTGCAAAAAAGACATGTATTTCTGAATAACTCTGAATTTGATTTGAGTGATTGGATTACAAAACAGTTTAACAGTATTTTACACCTAATCAGGCCACTGAAGACACTAATACCAGTGTTTCCGCTACATTCATTCTGCCGTGGCGGGCCGCCAAACCAAAAATCATCCCGTCACAGCTGCAGCTTCTCAATGAGGTCCGATATTTTGCATACTATTGTGTTATTGTTAAGCCCCACTAAAGTCATAAAAAAACATTGTAAAGCACCATAAAGTTTTCACACTATATTCCAAGACTTCTAAAGTCATTCAATAGCATAATGTGAGGTAAAAATGAATATTTAAGTCGTTAAGTTAAAGTTAATGGAAACTAATCTCTCCTCAGTCATTCTCCATTCAGCATTCAAACAGCGCGTCACGTTCGGTTATAACAGTAACACAACGCCACTCTCTTCAAGATCAATGTTCCCATTATTATACTTTATTTGTAGATAAAGGTCTATGGTTTGCATAAAATGACTTTATCTTGCTGGAGTTTATTGCGCTTTCTAAATCATATTCCTTTCTCCCGGGTGTCTGTTAGATTAAAACTGTTAAAAGAAAAGGCTCAATAAACTGTTGCATAGATAGAATACACTAATCATAGATAGATATAATCTCTTCTCTTCGCTTTGTGCTTTGAACTTTTAAATGCAAAGCGCTGCACGCTGTGACTTCACGTTGCTTCAAGTGCATCATTCTGCGCACGGGATGCGCAAAATCGCTTTGCCGCTCTTATTGGAGCCTTTCATATTATAATACTTAGGGGAGGTTTAAACACCTGGGGCAAGGGGCCGTGGCCCATTGGAATATCACTCATGGGCTACACCCCCTCCCCCTGGGGAAATGGGCCTGCCACCACAGTTAAAAAAAATCCTAGAGGAAACACCGAATACCTCACGGAAATGTTGACAAAGAGGCAAAAAAGGAAATGCGGCATAGACAGTGTTGAAGTACCCAGTGTCGGGGTTATCACGCTAACCTGGAGGTATTGTGTTGCTGAACAGTGCCAATTAGTGCTTTGGGCTGGAGGTCAGGGGTCACGGCCTGACGAGGCTGCAGTGCAACTGGACCAGTGCTCTTCTTAGCCATTTGACTCTTTAAACTGGGACTCCTGAAATGGAAGAGAAAAAGATAAACATGGTTTAACACTTGGCAGTATTATGAAAGAATAGAAGCTCCTGAAGCACTCACTCTGTGCGGGAAGGCTGTGGGGGTCCGGCAGGCAGTGGCCGAGGTGGTGGGAGCTGCGGGGCTATAGGCCGACTGGCACCAGAAGTACTGTTGTCACTAGTGTACTGCACTACAGGACCCTTTGTCCTCAATGCTCCTAAAAATACATACACAGTTTTTAGTAAGATGTGAACTGGAAAATTAGTGCAGAGTAGGAACAGACCAGTTAATACTTAAGATGTAATAAGAATGGTTTAAGCATAAAATTAACAAGATCAAAATGGAAGCATAAATAGAAACACTAAAGGCCTGTTCACACCAAGGATGATAAGTACACTGAACAAAATTATAAACGCAATACTTGTTTTTGCCCCCATTTTTCATTAGCTGAACTCAAAGATTTAAGATTTTTTCTATGTACACAAAAGGCCTATTTCTCTCAAATATTGTTCACAAATCTGTCTAAATCTGTGTTAGTGAGCACTTCTCCTTTGCCGAGATATTCCTTCCACCTCACAGGTGTGGCATATCAAGATGCTGATTAGACAGCATGATTATTGCACAGGTGTGCCTTAGGCTGGCCACAATAAAAGGCTACTCAAAAATGTGCAGTTTTACTATATTGGTGGGTGGGTCCGAAAACCAGTCAGTTAACCGGATCGCGGTTATATCCGCAGATCGGGCGGGTCAAGTAATAAAAATAACATTCTGATTAATTTCGGGTGGGTCGCGGGTGGATATGATAAATCATTAACGAAAATATAAACTACATTCTCTAAAATGTGAGCATGTCTAAAATAATTATTTTTTTCGCAAGGCAGACAGGCACTAATTTGCACTAACACAGATTTAGACAGATTTGTGAACAATATTAGAGAGAAATAGGCCTTTTGTGTACATAAAAAAAGCCTTAGATCTTTGAGTTCAGCTCATGAAAAATGGTGGCAAAAACAAAAGTGTTGCATTTATAACTTTGTTCAGTGCATAATAAAAAATATATAGGCCTAGTTTTAGAAATCATTCTAAATTTAGTCCTTGCCACAACTATGTTAATGGCACAATAATTTAGTTGGAATCACTTTCAGAATGATGGATGGAAAAATAATTGAGAGAAAATCAGAATCCATTCTGCTTTTAAGGGTTTGAGGATTTAAAGCGGCAGGCAACATCACAGCAGTGCATGCTTATAATAAACAGAATGTTATGATGCTATGTTTTGGTCACAAATATAGTTATCGTTATCTTTAGTTATCGTTCTTGGTGTGACTGGGCCTTAAGACTCCCTTAAAATGTAAAAAAGGAACACATGTGGACAAACAGAAAGCAATCAGTCACCCATATTAGGCCGCTGTCTTTGTTGACCAGCCATTTTCTTCTCTTGACTGTTAGCGGTGTTCATTTTCAGATTAAACATGGGTTCTAGTCGTGTAGAGCCACGATAAATCCACTCACTCCGCTTATCATCCTGCAACATTGCAAACAATATTTTTCATGTTCAAATGTCATTAAACATACAGCAACTCTTCACATGAACATAATTGGACATTCAAAAAGATCTAGCAGCAAATGCTTTTTTTTTACTATAACAATTTATCTTTAACTGTAACACTTCTAGCTGTATGTGGTGCCAAACTGACCAGGAAAAGCATTTTGACAAGGCTGCCATCCACTTCTTCCACACGGCTTTTCCACCATGTCCCCTCCCATTCCGTCTTAATAATTTGCCCTGGCTTCAGCAACACCATGGGCCTGTTGGGATACGACGTGATATACTCCTCAATGAAATCTTTGCATGATGCATCCTCAATATCCTCCCACGTCTTTTTCACTAAATCCAGGTTGAGAGAGAGAGAGAGAGAGAAATAGAGAATGATCCATTATAACAAATTATTTCATGCAATTATTTTTCTTCATTATTTTTATTTTACAAATAGATTCAATAAATAACAAGTGTTTGACATTACTTAAAGATAAGGCAAAAACAGAAATTGCAGGAAATTGAAAAAAGAAAATCGTTGCTTACAAGGTCTACAGATGGGATAGAGCTCAGGCAGGCCCACATATGAGGCGTAACCATCATCAAAAAAGATCAGGAACCTGCAACAACATTCAGTCAGCATATTAGGTTGACCACATGTAATGTCTTCTATCCAACAATCCAAAGATCTTCTGTTCATTTTACCTCATACGGTTCTTACTGTTGGGCATCTCAGCGACTACGCCTGCATAGAGCCAGACTTGATTGCCATCCTTGTACCTGGCAACAACACGGGCACCAACAAACAGTCTTTCCAGTGTTGGGTGGTAGTCAAATGCCACATGATTACCAGAGAGAAGACTCTTCCCTTTATTTTCAAACTTCACCTTGTACTTAAAATTGTTTCCTGTGAACAATTGATATCAAAAGAATGGATTAAGCGTTGATATTCAATTTTAGCCTACTGAAAACACACAGCAGTTGTGAAATGTACAGTACTATTCAATAATTTAATAAACCGCATACACTTACCCACTTGTTTGATGGCAACAAGTGTTCCCCGATGCCACGTCTTGGTTCGTTTTTTACCCAAAAGTGTCATGTCGAGCTTGATGTTATCCTGTTTAATATTAGGGTTCGGTTGAGTGGGCGCATTCCTTGGGCCTGAAGACATAAACACAGCTGGAACAGCCAGAGCACCATGGGTTTGTGTGGAGGGGGCTTTAGCAGAAGTGGTTATACCCGATGGGGCTGTTCTGTTGACCGTCTGGGCCAGGTTCTGCACCTGCTGAGATGTTCTTTGAAGGGCAGCTGAAGCCTCCTTCAACTATAAATATAATCCAGGAAAGGAAACATCAACTAAAGCACCTGACAAATAACTTTATGAAGTACTATTAGTATAGCATTAAGGTGCGGTCACAATTTCAGCAGATTTTTGGAAGCAAAAAAGTCTAGTGTCAATAGTGTAGCGAAGTATGAAGCACAGCTCAGACACAAGTCACTTTTAAACCAAGCAGCTTTCCGTTGGTCAACGTGGCGAATTTGCATTACCAACTTGAATCCAATGCAAAATCTACACCCAAACAGAAAATTCCCGATCATGTGAATTTTCCCCCATTAAAATTCACTGAAAATTATAAATGTGACAGCACCTTTAGAGTGGTTTGTCAAATTACACATCTGTCTTACCGCTGGATCCTTGGCTGGAGTTACAACTTTCTTGGGAGGAACCACTGTGGAGCAAAAACACACTTGTTACTGTACAATTTTTACATCCATTAAATAAAAAAATAAAAACCTAACTTACCACATCCCACAGCAATGACATCATCGTCATCATCGTCGTCAATCTCAATGACCTCAGAAGTATTTGCCCCGCCTACACCCTCATCCTCCGAACTGCTCTCACGATACACTAGACCCATCTTACTGTACACGTCCTTCACCAGAGCTTCACACTGAACCACAGACCTGTAAAAACAAAGAGTTATGCACTGGATTACACTCAAACAGAGACCCACAGCAATTGATGGGAGTGGAAACTTGCACCTGCTAAACTCGTGCAGTGTTTTTGATCAGCGTATCATTTGCTGAAGTTGTTTACCACATGATATTTCTGCCAACGTTACTGGGAAGAATTTGTATATTGCAGTAAGTACTGTATATTTCTCGAGAAACTTTTAAGAAACAGTTTGGCTGTTTGACTAAAGTCTCATTGTTGAGATTCTTTCTTTTCTTTTTTCCCATAAACCACTGGTCCATTCTTTGATATTGTCTGCCCACTTTTTCTTGTTCCTTCAATCGTGAATGGAGAATGGTTTTGGCCAGCCCTGAGAATCTGGTGACATGTCCATACCACTGCAGTTTCCTTCTTTTGACTGTTGCTATGAGTTCTTCATAGGGCCCAGCATGCTGTGCCTAATGGTGTTGAGTACTTCCTTGTTGGTCACATGATCTTTGTAGCTTATGCCCAGAATTTTTCAAAAGCCTCGCATTTCCAAGGCCTGAATTTTCTTCTCTAGCTCAGCCATCAGTGTCCACGATTCACATGCATACAGGAAGATGGAGTTAACCAGAGCATGGATAAATCTCAGCTTTAATCTAAGGTGATGTCCTTGTCCCTCCATATTGGCTTCAGTCTGGCAAGTGCTGTTTTAATCTGGGCTATCCTGGCCATCAAATTTGGATCCCTCATCAAATATCATTGTGCCAAGATATTTAAAGGGATACTCCACCCAAAAATGAAAATTCTGTCATCATTTGATCATTCTGTCAACAACTGTTTGGTTCCAATCGTTCTTCAACATATCTTCCTTTGTGTTCAGAAGAAGAAAGAAACTCATACAGGTTTGCAACAACTTGAGGGTGAGTAAAGGATGACAGAATTTTCATTTTTTGGTGGAGTATCCCTTTAAGCTGGGACATTAAATTGCAGGCACTGGTTCTGGATGATTATTTGGGACAGTTTGTCGTCAGTTTTGTCTTATGAATGCTAATTTCCATTCCATATTTGGAAGATGTCTAAACCAGGCGTTCACACAATTTATATAAAAAAAGGTTAGCTGTTTGACAGTCCCATTGTCGAGAAGACAAATACTGTGTTGATCTCAGTGCATAAACGCTCACACACTTTATACTTACTCTGAGGCATTAGAGCAAAGAGTGTCCATTTCAGAGACCTCCTTCTCCCTCTTCTCAACCCAGTCCTGCAGCTGCTCCAGCTGATCTTTCCGCTGCCGCACGGCCTCACTGCCATCCACCTGCTCCTCGATCCACCTGCGCAGCTCGTCCAAAGACACCCCTAACTCCTCCTCCAACTCAGGATCCAACTCCATCTCTGAGCTCAAACTGGCATCCACCTCCATACCCTTGACAGAAAAGGAAAACAGGCTAAAAATGTTGTAAAACACTATCACAGCATAAATCATAAAGCAACATCTAAAAGGTGCATTCTGCATTCAGTTCACCCAAAAATAAACATTCTGTCATCATTTAATCACCCTCATCTCATTCAAAACACGTAACTTTTGTTTATCTTCAGAAATAAAATTATAATATTTTTAATAAATTTTTCTTCAGATTTCTGTCCATCCATTGACAGTTAATGGATTAGTTTTGCAATCTCTTTTTATGGAATTTTTGAAGCAACAAAATAGTAGCTGCGTAGACAGAAATCTCTCAGATTTATTTTAATATATCTTCATTTCTGTTTCGAAGATGAACGAAAGTCTTATGGGTTTGGAACAACATGAGGGTGAGTAATTAATGATCATTTATTTTTCATTTCTGGGTGAAGTAACCATTTAACTATGGAAAGAATTTCGGTAACTTACATTTCTCCTTAACAACATTTCAACAGTGATGTTGAAAGGCATCCTAACAGCAGTTTCAATGCAGTCCTTTCACAACATTTCTATTAAGTCCCATTATGGTCAGAAATTTAACATGGCTATTCTTAAACATTTTTTTATTTCATTTCTAATAATGTTTTAGTAAATGTTAAAGTTGCATCTGTTAATATTATTTAATGGATCTGAGATATGAACTAACACACGATGATGAACAGGTATTTTTCTTAAGTAACGTTAACAAAGATTAATAAATACTGTAAGAAATTGCTCATTGATAGCCATTGCATTAACTAATAAGACCTTATTGTAAAGTGTTGCCAAAAACTCTATAGTTCACAAATTTTAAGGGTGAATTCAGACGTAAAGCCAGACAACATTATGACTAACGTTAACTCTGACCCACTTCAGCCCCTTGTATTAAAGTATACAGCTGTTTTTTAAGGACAGATAATGCTCCTTTTAAGAAGCATTTCTGTGCCACCTCTTCAGAATAAATTTAGCACCAGTCTTCTATTTTCCCATGATTGTAATGAATTATAGTCTAGAACTGCAGCAAATATATTTTCGCATGAAATGTCTGTAAACATTTGACGGAATATTAACTGATCTTCGTTCAAAAAGGAGAAAAGCCAGAAATGGCCAGTATGTAACGTTACTTCAACCACGACAATTCCTGCAAGTCAAGACCTCTAAACGGCGCGCAACACACGAATGAGAGGGCTAAGCAGACCATTTCTGATAAAAAGCACAAAAAATCCATAGTATCTTGGCTTTCTTAAATACCAACATGTGAACATTTACAAAAAGATCAGTAAAAGTGAAAGATCAGAGTCAAGTTAGATTCATTGAATTGTGGCGATGCTAACTGAGTTAGCTTACCTCCCCTAACGTGCCTTTGCTTCCAGCACTTTGGTGAATTTATCCTTTTCTCGTGTTTTAAATGACCGGCACACAAAGCGTAGTGGGTTTAAAGCTTTTTCCTATACCGCAGACATTTCGGTATTTTATTTTTATTTTTACATAAATTCCACGGTCATCGAGCACTGCACAACAAAAATCCCTACGAATGTGTTTGGCTGATGATGATCGTGCAAGCTGACCAATCGGCTTTTGCGTGACGAGTGAGTGGCAGTTGAAGTGATCAATTGTATGCAAGAAAAATCCAGAACACGCCCCCTACAATGCAACACGGTGTGAAAAATGCCCGCACTCGTGCGCTCCAGGACTACAAAGTACTGCACAACGCTACAATTAGGTAGTACAATTTGGCACCATAAAAACAGTGAAACCGAAACATCTGTGAAAATAATTTATTAAAATACTCTCCACACCGAAACAGTAGTCTATTAATAAATACGAAAAAAAAAAAAAAATCCAAAAGACGTGGCCGCCAGACCCCTCACTGAATCACTGTGCATGTGTTATTCTAAAACAACACATTCATTGTTGACTTTTTATGTTTATCAATTCTTTTTGCTATATATGAAGGTCACATTAAAACTGTAATATTATTATTTTTTACTACGCCTTCATAATTTATGTTAAAGGTGGACTTCGAATTTTCCTGTTTTGCACTTAAAAGGATGAATAGTACACCGGAAAAAAGTTTAATATAACCACATCAGTTGCCTATTAAAGTTGTTTATTAGCTGTTATTATTGCAGCATCTTATAATGTTTAAATATTAATCATTGGTTTGCCTAAGTGTAAATGTAACATTCCTGAAAAAGGGTAGCTAGGCTATTAGCTCAATGAAGCCAAAGGTATACTGCCCTACAAAGGCAAAAACCTTAAAGGGTTAGTTCGCCCATTTAAGACATGAAGTTGTATGCAATCCTTACCAGCACTATAGTGCATACACACTGACCCACTCTGTAGTCACCTCCCTGGTCAGAGTTCTGGCCGCTGGAAGTTTTTCAAGAAAGTACTCCCGGTTAGTTTCCGGGGCCTCAAAACTGTGCGTTTTTACGTGAAAATATTATTTGCGTTTCAAAGCTTGATTAATTTACCTCAGTTTTAATCGCCCACATGGAAAGAACCTATATGAGGATATATGCACATAAATGAAACCTATATGCAGTTTATATGCACATATATGCTGCATATCAGCATATATGCACATATATGATAATATATAGCCTATGCTGCATATATGCGCATATATTGCACATATAGGCAAAACTGAGGTGCATATATGTGCATATACAGGCCATATAGGTCTCCTGTATTGCTTCTTTATATCCACATATAAGCCCTATATGTGCATACATGACTCCTATATAGCTCATGGCAGGATCTGGTCATTTTGTAGCTCATATCTCACTTTGGCAACTGTCATACATGATGCCTAGCTCATATTTTCTATTATCAAGGCAATAACTAAGAACTAACTAAAAAAAGAAATTATGCAAGAACTGTATGTGCGAACACGTGAAATTGGTATCACATGTAATTGGCATGTTATGGAATTTAACTATGGCAATTAAGTGAGAGGAGATGGAAAGCTATGTGAAAGCTACATTTACAAGGTCAATTCTTTCTTGTATGAAGATAGTGGAAAAGAAGGAAATAACAAAATGGTTTGTCATTTTTTTTATTTTGTCAATCAAGCCCTTTTTCCAATTGTTTTTTCTTTATAACCTCTTTCTAGAAATCCCTCAAATGAAAAGTGACCTCGCCATTATTGCTCAAAAGGTAAGTTCCTCTGATTTTCATTGCTTTTTAAAATTGTTTCTCAAGCAGAGCTGTAGAGACTTGTGATGTTGGGCTGATTGATAGTGTTAATTATTTGATGTATTTGCACTTTAATTTATTGAAGAGAATAACTATATTTTTGTTCTATGAACAAGACTGGAAGGAGTCCTGTGGAGGATCTAGATGTCTCCTTCTCGACTTTTGGAGAAGTGGAACCGGGGAGTAACCCCCTTGCATTTGTATTTATTTATTTAGTTTACTTGTTGCTCAAACAGAGCTATATGGATTTTTATGATGTTTGGCTGATTTATTGTTTTTTTTTTTATGTTTGGCTATTAATTTATTGACATGTTTCATGTTTTCCAAGCCCCCCCTGTAAATAAGAATCTACAGTGGCTTGCTTGGATGAATAAAAATTGTTGTATAGTTTTACTAAGTTTCTTTCTTCTCTAAGACTCCAGAGAGGAGACCGAGCCCTTTAAAGAGAGTCCCATGGTGACTGAGCGCTTTCGAGAGACACCACAGGTGTGTGTAACCCTTATATACCTCAGATTTTTCTGTACTTATTTTACTTAAGGCTCCAACTGAGCTATAGGGATTTTTATGTTGGGATAGTTAGTGGTATATGTAATTTACTTGCCCCATATGCATAAAATTTTTGAAGTTTTACAATTGAGTTTAACAATGTTTTTCTTCTCTAACAAGACTGCAGCAACAGCTGAGACCACAGCGAAAACACAGGTGAATAACATTATGTAGTAAGGATGGGTATAAACTGTGTGCTTGTAGGAGCCAATTAGTGTTATAAGAGACAATTATCCTTTCCTCCTGCCCCCCTTCACTCCTCTCCACCCACTGTCTTTTCTCCTTCCCTACTGTCCATCCAACCTCCTCCTTCTCTCCTTTAATAACGTTTAAGGCAATGATTAGTTTGTTTCATATCTTTATCATTAATCTGCATTTATACATCCTAACCTATTAACTATTGGGAAGCTAAGCATAAGAATCAATATGAAACATGAAAAAGTTTCTAAAATTTGCCAATAAATTAATATTGTGATGTGAAATTATTTTTCAGATTGAAGTTATAAAGGGCTTTGCGGTGTTTTGCCAGGCTGAAGCGTTTTTGATTTGGAGACTTTGCTGAAAAGCAACCTGAATGGTACTAAACAACATGTTCCTAATCTCTTCTGTCCTTGAAAAAAACAAGTCTGTCATATTCTGTGGAATAAATTATGTTTGTGTGCGGGCATACCATCGCTTTTTTACTTGCCATTTTTGTATTTCCTTGCACCTCAAGTAAACGTGATGTGTATATAAAAAATCTCTTGTTTTCACCACCTTCATTTTAACCCCCTTTCATAATAATTTTGAAATATTACTTTAAGGTGGGAAGCCAACCAGAGGGGATGGGGAGCAGCTGGTCACCCTTGACCAAATTAAAAAGGCAGCCATTATTGGTGAGTAAATGCATAATGCGTTGAGAAGGGAAAACAAAACTTTATAAGTTCACCACTTTAACCATAGCCTACTTGTATCAATGTTTATTAGGCATCAATGGAGACTGTATAATGTAGGGCACCCATTATTGTTACTGTATCTGCTTGGAACCTATATGTGATGAGGGGGGCGTGGTTTTCGCGCCGTCTGTAGTGAGAGACAAGTCAGCGAGCGCTGCGGTGAGTAAGTGGGTCAAGTGCAAATGATAAACACCTGTGTCTGATTGCAGTAATTGGCGTGGGGAGACGGATAAAAGCCGCAAAGTGAGAGAATGAAGTGAGAGAGAAGGACTGAGGACTCGTGCGTGAGAAGGTGTGGAGACTGTGAGAGCTGAAACCAGTGTGGAAAGAGATTGTCTGAAGCTGGAGAGGACTTTGAAGCTGAATCAGCGTGGAAAGAGTTATAACTGAAAGTGTTGTGTTGCTGTAGTCCGACTACGGTGAATGCGCTGTGTGCGCACCGTTTATTATTTTGTTGAGAAAATAAAACGTACGAGTCCCAGTCTCGCCGACCCTGTCTCCTTCTTCCTACACTTATAGCTCGAACTTTGTTACATTGGTGCCGAAACCCGGGACTCCTGCCGCAAATGGCTGATGGCCGGGGGAAGCGACGTCGAGCAGATTATCGATCAGGTGGTACTGCAACAATTTATCGTGAAGCTCCCCAAGAAAACTGCACAGTGGGTCCAGTGCCACCGCCCGACGTCGCTGGACCAGGCCATCCAACTGGCGGAGGATCACATGGTGGCGTGCTCTGGGGTCGGCGAAACCCTCCCATCTGTCTCTCTCTCTTCCTCTCTCTCTTTTTCCTCCTCAGCCTCTACCCCCTCCCCCTCTACTAAGCCTGTCCCCGTTCCTAGGTCGCGAGGAGGCCTCGCACCCAGACCAGCGCCGAGGTGGAGGTCCGGGTGGTCCGGTGACAATGGCGCGACCGGGAGGACGGCGACGAGGGGGACACCGGCTGGGGAACTTTCCACCCTGGCGCAGCTGGCACCTCTCTCCCCACGTCAATCCCTTGCCCCGCTTCCTGCCGCTGGAACAGCGGTAAAACCTGGGCCGGCCTGTTGGCGCTGTGGGGACCCGGGCCACTTCATCGACCGGTGCCCGGTGATGGAGGTGGGGACACTGGTTCGGGTCCCCGACGTGCCAAAGGCCGCCCCCGATCAAGCCGGCCTGTACCAAATACCCGTGAGTATAAAGGGGGGTACTTATCAGGCTTTGGTGGATTCAGGATGCAACCAAACCTCTATTCATCAAAGCCTGGTTCGATCTGGGGCATTGGATAACAGCCGCGTGGTTAAGGTGCGGTGTGTGCACGGGGTGGTGGTGAGTTATCCCTTAATGTCGGTAGACATTCTATTTAGGGGGCAAAAACATAGTGTGGAGGTCGCAGTTAACCCGCACCTCCGGCATCCGCTAATTTTGGGAACGGATTGGCCTGGCTTTAAGAAATTATTGGGGTCTATATGTGCGGATGCCTCTTGGGAAAAGAAGCTCCAGGGGAAGACAGCGGTGGTTCAGGTGGGGGATGCTGTACCGGGGCCTCTGGGTACTGCTGTAGGGGAAGAGAGCACTCTGGAGGGAAATATCCTCTCCGAGCGCGATGATTTTCCCCTAGAGCAGTCCCAGGATGAGACGCTAAAACGGGCGTTTGACCAGGTCCGTTCCATCGACGGTCAGCTACTCCACCCGGAGCAACCGCTCTCTTACCCCTATTTTTGTGTGATCAAAGATAGGTTGTATCGGGTGACCCAAGACGCCCAGACAAAGGAGGATACAACCCAGTTGTTAGTACCAAAGAGCCGTCGGGAAATGCTTTTCCAGGCGGCTCACTGTAATCCGATGGCCGGACATTTAGGGCAAACAGCGACACTAAACCGTCTCATGGCCCGATTCT